TGAAGGATGAGATGGCCTGTCGTGATGAACCCAATAACCTAAACGACCTTTTGGAACAAGCTATCCGGATGGATAACCGGTTAAGAGAGCGTCGACGTGAAAGAGCGGGAAGGACTGCCACCCCTGGTAGAGCCCTCCCCTTACCTTTCCCTTTAACACCCACTCACAATCCTGCTCCTCCGCCTATACCACGCCAGTCTGAATCCGAACCAATGCAGTTGGGGCGTGCCCATCTGGATCCGGAAGAAAGACAACGCCGCTTCAACACACGGAGCTGCCTCTACTGTGGTCAGTTTGGACATTATATATCCTCCTGTCCTGTCCGGCCAGCAAAAGGCCCGGCTCAGCAGTAGTGGGAGACATACTGCTGAGCCACACTAAGTACTCATCTCCCACTAAAGCTAACCTTGAGGCTACGCTAATTTTATTGGACCGCAACTTGTCTCTGCCTGTTCTTATCGACTCGGGAGCTGATGAGAGCTTTATGGATCGTGAGGTTGCCTTCCAGCTGGGACTTAAACTGGAGACCCTCGAGACACCCTTGGAAGCTACTGTAAGGCGCTCAACGGCCAAGTATTAGCCAGGGTTACTGAAAGGACTCTTCCAGTTCACCTACATCTCTCAGGTAACCACAAGGAGAGAATAAGTTTCCACATATTTGATTGTAACCACTCTCCTCTTGTTTTGGGCTTACCTTGGTTGAAGCTGCATAACCCTCACATAGACTGGTTATCTGGTAAAATCGTTTCCTGGAGCACATTTTGCCATTCTAACTGTTTACAATCTGCCTTATCTCGTTTTTGTTCTCGGTCTGTAAGAGTCCCAGAAACCCCTGACCTGTCCTGTGTTCCTTCTGTTTATCATGATCTTGGGTCTGTGTTCAGTAAAGACCACGCCCTGTCGCTGCCACCACACCGGCCGTATGACTGTGCCATCGAGCTTCTCCCGGGGGCTCCATTGCCGAGCAGTCGTCTTTACAACCTCTCGACTCCGGAGCAGGAGACTATGGAGAGGTACATTCAAGAATCGCTGGCGGCAGGGATCATTAGACCATCTTCCTCACCGGTGGGTGCTGGTTTTTTCTTTGTTGCTAAGAAGGACAAGTCACTCAGGCCGTGTATTGATTACCGAGGCCTGAACAAGATAACCGTTAAAAACAAATATCCACTCCCGTTAATCAACTCTGCCTTCACTCCTCTCTGTGGTTCTACAGTTTTCACAAAGTTGGATCTTCGCAACGCTTACCACCTTGTTCGCATCAGGGAAGGAGATGAGTGGAAGACCGCGTTTAACACCCCATTAGGCCACTTCGAGTACTTGGTGATGCCCTTTGGACTGACTAATGCACCGGCAGTGTTTCAAAACCTGGTTAATGATTTTTTACGGGACATGATTGGAAGATTTGTTTTTGTCTACATTGATGACATCTTGATTTTTTCCAAAGACATTGAGACACACGAAGCCCATGTTAAGATGGTTCTCCAGAGGCTCCTTGAAAATAAATTGTTTGTCAAGGCTGAGAAGTGTCAATTTCATGCCCCCTCTGTTGCCTTTTTAGGGTACATCATCTCAAGGGGTCAAGTGGAGATGGACCCAACAAAGGTGAAGGCTGTCAGAGAGTGGCCATCACCTTCCTGTCGTAAGGAGCTGCAGCGTTTCTTGGGGTTTGCTAACTTCTACCGGAGGTTTATACGCAACTACAGTCGTTTAGCTGCCCCTCTAACTGCTCTCACCTCTTCCACTGTCCCCTTTACTTGGACCCCTGAAGCAGAGTTTGCTTTTAGCGATTTGAAGCACAAGTTCACGACCGCTCCAGTTTTGACCCAGCCCAATCCAGACCTCCAATTTGTTGTAGAGGTCGACGCTTCGGACACTGGGGTAGGTGCAGTGCTCTCACAACACTGTCCCCCTGATGGGAAGCTGCATCCCTGTGCATATTTCTCTCGTAAGCTTACATCTGCTGAGAGGAATTATGATGTTGGCAATCGTGAGCTCTTTGCAATTAAACTTGCTCTGGAAGAGTGGCGCCACTGGTTGGAGGGTTCAAATATTCCCTTTATAGTCTGGTCAGATCATAAGAACCTATCCTATATCCAGACAGCTAAGAGACTTAACTCCAGGCAAGCTAGATGGGCCCTATTTTTTGATCGGTTTAACTTTACTTTGACCTATCGCCCCGGTTCTAAAAACCTTAAGCCAGATGCCCTGTCTCGTGTGTTTTTCACTTCTAGTCCTGTAACAGAAAGCGATCCCATTTTACCTGCCTCTCGTTTTGTTGCCACCATTTCCTGGGAAATTGAATCACGTGTCAGACTAGCCCAGCAAGCCCATCCAGATCCTGGCAATGGTCCAACTGGTTCCTTGTTTGTTCCAGATTCAGTCCGGTCTGATGTTCTTCAATGGGCTCATTGTACCCCTTTAACTTGCCATCCGGGGGTTGCTCGCACTCTTGCAGTCCTTCGCCGCAGATTCTGGTGGCCATCCATGGTGAAGGACACCAAGGAGTTTGTGTCAGCATGTTCAGTGTGCTCGCAAAACAAGACCTCTAATAAACCCCCTTATGGGTATCTCCTACCTTTACCTATTCCTAGCCGTCCATGGTCTCACATCTCTCTGGACTTCGTGACCGGGCTACCTCCGTCCAATGGCAATACTGTGGTTCTTACAATTGTTGACAGGTTCTCTAAATTTGCACACTTTATTCCCCTCACTAAGCTGCCTTCCTCCAGAGAGACGGCCGACCTGTTGGTGGATCATGTCTTTAAGCTGCACGGAATCCCGTTGGATATAGTTTCTGACAGAGGTCCCCAATTTACCTCTCAAGTATGGCGTGCATTTTGTTCTGCTCTTAACATCAATGTCAGCCTCTCTTCTGGATATCACCCCCAAACTAACGGCCAAACTGAGAGAGCGAACCAGCAGATGGAGGTGGCGTTACGCTGTGTATCATCCGGGAGTCCGTCCAGTTGGAGTTCACATCTGCCCTGGGTGGAGTATGCTTATAATACCCAGGTGAACGCCTCTTTGGGCATGTCGCCATTTGAATGTTGTAACGGCTACCAACCACCTTTATTCGCAGACCAGGAGCGAGAACTTGCTGTTCCCTCAGTCCAGGTTCATCTGAGGCGGTGTAGCCAGACTTGGAAACGAGCTCGGTCCGCGCTTGAGTCTGCTTCTAGGCGGTCCCAGAGCCAGGCAAACCGTAGGCGTGTGCCCGCTCCGCCTTACGTCACTGGGCAGAAGGTGTGGCTCTCCACTCGGGATCTGCCTCTCAAGGTGGAGTCTAAGAAGCTCTCTCCCAGGTTTATTGGACCGTTTGAGGTAGAGACGGTGATTAACCCGTCGGCGGTGCGTCTTAAGCTACCAGCTTCCTTGAGAGTACACCCTACCTTTCATGTGTCGATGATCAAGCCTGTCCGGTCCAGCCCCTTGTGCCCTTCTGTTCCTCCTCCCCCTCCTCCTAGGTTGATCGATGACCACCCTGCCTATACTGTTCGGCGTATTTTGGACGTTCGTCGCCGGGGTCGTGGTCTTCAGTTTTTGGTGGATTGGGAGGGTTACGGCCCCGAGGAGCGGTGCTGGGTTCCGCGCAGGAATGTGTTGGACCCTTCCTTGATCCGGGACTTCTACCGTGATCATCCTGAGAAGCGGGATAGGACGCCAGGGGGCGTCCGTAGAGGGGGGGGTACTGTCACAGCCCTTCCAGCACCTCTGGCCACTTCAGCCCCTCCCTGAGAGGCTGGCCTTCCCTCCCCCTCCCTTTCTGTTGCAGGATGTGAACAGGTGTGCTGGAGGAACTCCACAGCTGAGTTCACTCTCATCATCAGCAGGAAGGATTCAAAAACCACTGCAGTAAGCTCAGCTGTGCCAGATCGTAAAACTCTGCCAGTCAGTGTCACGTTTCTAGCGTTCTTTTTGACTAGCTCGAAATATAACATTCAAACCAGGTTTTTTTGCCTTATTTTCCAGTTCTCCAGCCACCTGCTTTTCCAGCTCCGTCCTGCTCTGCCCCTGCTCCGTCCTGTCCCGGTTTTGTTCTGCCCTACCCTGGTTTTGCTCCTTCCCGCCCTGGATCTGCTCCGTCCTGCTCTGTCCTGCCCTGTCCTGCCCTGTCCTGGCTCCGCTCCGTCCCTGCACTGGCCCTACCCCATCTAGCTCCAAACCGGCTTCAATAAAATTCCATCTGAACCTCTTCAGAGTCTGCTCCTGGGTTCTTTTGCCTTGATCCATTACAGAGGCTGCGGTTGTGCTCCCGTTTTTGCTCCGTTTGCATGACAGAGCGCACGGACTAAGACCAGACAGGTACATATTAACTAGTCTAAGGTAAGGTAAGAACATATGTCAGTATGTAAAAACGGTGAACTATTCCTTTAAATGGCATAGGTCACTCGTTTAAATGATTAGGTAACTAAACTGCGTCATGTTGCATTTAACGGCGCAGCAGAAAGTAAAAAAAATAAAAATAATCTGCGATGAGTGTGAAGTGGAATTGGAGCTAATGAACAGATAGAAAAGTGATGTAGTTAGAACTTTAACCATAGTTGCTTAAAGGTGCTATGAAATCACTACAGTATAATGGTGGATTAGAAAAGCGATGGGTTGACCACAGCCCTGCACCTTTCTCGTCTCCCCGGCGTGTGGAAACTTGGGGCTTTGCCGGAGTTGCGTAGCTAATTCCGAACGCGCACTCAGTTTTTGTTCCAGAGACGAAACGTGTCCGACGCGGCGCTGAAAGAGATCCATGGAGGGGGACGACGTCTGCAATCTCAGCAGCATGCAACAGGCACGTGTGTTTTGTTTGTGTCCAAGGGCGGGACTCTCGCAGAATCTCGCCCTTCCGCTTCCAGTCCTGTAGGTCTGCATGCGGTCTATTTTAGCCCCGTGCGCGGGTCTGCAGGCTCTCTGCATTAACCCCGTGCTTTGGTCTGCAGGCTCTCTGCATTAACCCCGTGCTTTGGTCTGCAGGCTCTCTGCATTAACCCCGTGCTTTGGTCTGCAGGCTATGTCTGTCTGCTGGTGCCTCTGCCGGTGCCTCTGCTGGTGGCTCGCATACGCTTCGTGGGCACCTGCCGTACGGCCGTTGGCGGCTGCTTCCCGGCGTTCTCCGCACACTGCTTCTCGGGATCCCGGCGCTGCTCTCGCCGCCAGGGTGGCTCGCGCTTCGCCTTGCTGGACTCTCTCGGGCCCCGTCCCAGTGTTGCCAACTCCACAGTAAGGAAAGTAGCTATTGGCTGTCCCAAAAGTCGCTAGAAGTCGCTAAATGACGTCATCGTCTAATTTGCATAATTGGCAATTTGAAAATAACTGTAACGGACGCTGTAGGAGAGAGGAATAACGTCGTGGGAGAGACAAAAGTGAGTAAAAACACCCTAAATATGTTTAGAACTACAAATGTACAAAAATAATTTCAACATTAACAACATTTAATGATTTTAATGCTTTGTCTAGATCTGTCGCTAGTCGCTTTTTTGAAAAAAAGTCGCTATAGGGTCTGAAAAGTCGCTAAATCTAGCGACAAAGTCGCTAAGTTGGCAACACTGCCCCGTCCAGGCCGGGCCCCCCTCGTGCACCGCTGTTTTGGGGGTCTGGAGATCTCATACTAACAGTCAATCCCTCCTTATCATTCAGTGTCATTCATAAATCTTTTCTGTTCTATGCAGTTTTTCCAGTGTCGGTTCAGTTCATTTCGGTACGGTACGGCGCACCTATTTTGCTTTTCCACTAGTGGATGGAATGGGAGATTTGAGTACTTTTCCGTACTGCCTCAGCCGTGGTTCCATACCCATAGTACCCGTGCCATGACGTCACGTCGGCCCACTGCCTTACACTGATTGGTCAACGAGTGTCGTCACTGGAAGCGACATCTGACCCTTTGGGAAAAACAACTCAACCGCCATCTTTAAAACAGGCTGCTCTGCTCGGCTCAGCTTCGGCTACATTATGTCCTCCTCACTCCAGAGAAATGGAATTGCACAGAAAGCCCCAGAAGTCCTGGTCCTGGTCGGTGGAAGAGGTCCACACGTTCCTCTCTTCAGGCCAAAGAAAGAATTCAAAGGCAGCTCGAGGCTCAACACAGTTTTCAGGAGATCACCCAGCTCTGGATTTGTGACTAGTCTGTGGTAATCCTGGAAATAACTGCTACGAACCCCCTAAAGCTCTCACTGAAATGTATTTACTGTGTAAATGCTCGATTGTCTGTTGTACACAGTGAGCTAGCTACATTTAGCTTAATTTAGCTATTGATAGCAGCTAAGCTAACGTCCTCCCTGTGCTACTGTGCTTTATCTCGTATTATCTGCAGTATCCACGAGTTGTCATTCTGTTTTGTGCTTGTATTTAAGTTGTCGTGTGTATATTTGAATGATAATCCCTTCCCATAAGTGTGGAGATTAGAGTAATGAGTGACCGGAGTATTCTCCTCATCTGGACCTAGTAAGTAGTAGTAAGTAAGTAAGTAATCTTTATTTATATACCGCCTTTCACAGACCAGGGTCACAAAGCGGTTTACAATTGTTATTTTTGGGCACTTGTCCTCTCACTCCACAGAGAGATGGGAGCGGGGCCGCCGAACAGGAGGCGCATGCCAATCCTATTATACATATTTTTAGACCTGGTCTGGACCTGGTCTTAGACATACGTACTTTTGACTTTGTAAACTGTTGGTTTTGCACTTTACTTTTGTTTTCAATAAATCTGTGATTGTATCAAGACTGTTTGATTTATTATTATTGTAGCTGAGGTTTGGGTATCAATTGTTTGTCTGGTCTCGGAGTCTGCTGTAGTCCGGACCAGAGTCCGGACTAGCCTAGCTTAGCTGCTAACTCGCTACCCCTATGGCTGCCGCTGTCTCTCCCTCGGTCCTTTACTGCTCGAGTTGCCATATGACGAGTTTAAACCCTGGATCCTCCTCTGAGGGCAGTGATAGATGTGTTAAGTGTAGTATACATAGTTCCTACATGACGTCACTACATACGGGGATTTGCCGACCCGGCGACATTTGTGTTGGCATTCTGTGGGCAAAACAATAGAAAAAGAAGCTGAAACGTGTTAATGTCGTGATAAAGTTGAAAATGGTCATCTCCTGCTGGGTCAATGGATGTTCAAATTGTGCCGGAGGTTCCGTTAAACTTGGATTTTACAGTATACCCATCATTAGACTTCATGAATGTGAGAAGACTAAGCTTTTGTCAGAACAACGACGGAGGTTATGGCTTGCGAAGATAAACAGGCAAGAAACTCCCTCAAAACACGCAAGAATATGCTCGGAGCACTTTGTGTCAGGTGCGTATCGTATCTTATAATGTGTTGACAGACGTAATTTACTCAGTACTAACTTGTGTATGCTGATATCTGGTAACTTGAGAGTTTCATTATTTAGCGTTAGATTACTTTATTATGAGGAGGATCGCTGTCACGTCCGAGGCTCTCGAGGGAAACGTAAATGTATTAAATAGATAATAATAGTTCTATGGTGGGCTAAAACAATGTTCACAAACAGCATTGCTTCTGTAAAAAGATATGTGTCATAAAATAAACTGCTCTTTACGCCTGGAAAAATCAGTTGCCCACCATTCACCAAAACATACGGTCAAAAACGCGGAAATAAACAATAACAGCAATCCAGAGTGTCCGTGTGGCATTAGCATTAATTAAATTAATTGTTAATATAATTAAAATAATTAAATGGAGCTCCAACTGGTATTAAATCTAAAGTTTTTGAGAAATGTTTGCATTGCTTGTTAATTTTTGCTGCATAATTTGATCAAATATGTAAAACATGTCCGTAGCACGTTAAACTGTGGTGCCATTGTATTAATATACAATTATTTGCTCAAAAGTTGCCCTTTTTTTCCAATTTGCGTTTGAATATCTACATTTATTCTCATTCTTCTGTTTAATGGAATGCACAAACACAGCAGCGTGCCATCAAAGATGGCGTCTCCGAGGAGGTCATGTGACATTCATTGGTCTGTGGGAACTATGTATAGTAGTAGCTTTGGAATCCAGGGTTAGTGAGTGAGCAGAGTCTCGAGCTAGCGCTAGCATTAGCTATAGCCTAGCAGTATCCTCGGACATGCAGCCCTCCTCCGCTACACAGGCTGCTGTTGCTACAGGTATGTCCCATTCAGATTGTACAGAGCAGTCAGCACCATTGACTTCACAGTGTCTGAGTCATTCTTTTAAGAAATAAGCATTTTCAAAAACTCGTGCTGTGCTGAATTTTCTATGAAACACTTGCTCTGATATTATAATAAATCCATGGACCGCACCAGTACTAGTTACGCGTCACACGTAAATGACGTGATCTGACAACGCTGAGGACATACTGGGGGTACTATTTTTGATGGAAAAGCACGCGAACTGGGCCATGGCGCGCCGTGTAGAGTCAAAACGTACCGTACTCGGACCGTGGAAAAACGGCACTAGTCTCCCTGGGCAGGATCCAGTTCAAACCTCAGCGCACAAACTGAGGTTTGTTGGGGTAAGCTCACACAAGTATTTTACTTCGGCTTACTCCCTTTGAGTTGTGTCTACTTTTTCTTGAAATGTTTTCCTATTGGATTGTTTTTTGTTTTGTATGACCTGCTCAAATAAATTGATTGATTGATTGATTGAAACTGCAAGCAGTAACCAGGCTTCCTTCCCTTATTGCTGCTCCATTCTCCCTGGTCATCGGTGTCTCAGCCGTGCCGTCACTGCACCATGGCTATCTATCAGCTCTCTCCCGACAACCTCCCCATGACGGCTAACTGGTCCGGAGCCCAACTCAAATCCATACTAAATGGATACAGAGCTGTGCTGAGCTGCCTCGCACCATGCTCTCAGGTTTGCTCCGGCTGTCATGCTTCATCTCTCTGCTTAATTCTCTGCTTCTATCAGGTGCAGCTGGCAGAGTAGCCGTACTGAGCTGTCCTCGCTCCGAGCAGTCAAACTCCTCATCAAGGCATCCATAACTGTACTCCTCACTCTTCTGATCGCAGGCTCCCAATCATGCTGCCCATCCTGCAGCTGCTCTGCGCGGCACTGAACTCCGGCTCATTTTCCAAGCACACATCTGCCCTCCTTCGCAGCGTCTTCCTGCTCGCCTTCTACGACCTTCTCCGCATAAGCGAGTTCCCTACTGCTTACTCAACTTCAATGTGGCCCGAGACACGGCTTTTCCCGACCTGTCCTACTATCCTGATTATTTAATCTCCATCTCAAGAATTCTAAGCGTAAGGGCGCTTGCAACATAATAATAGCCCGCTCCAATATGTCTCTCTGCCCCTACAAGTCTGTGATGCGTTTCTCTCACCTCCGCTGTCAAAAAGGAGATCTTAACGGACCTTTATTTCTCACTCCAGACAACCTTCCCATGACAGCAACCTGGTTCAGAGCTCAGCTAAAATCCCTACTGCTGCTCTGTAATTTGTCTCCCCAGCGCTACACAGCACACTCGTTCAGGACAGGCGCTGCCACGCGCAGGGCCTCGCTGGGGCTCCCCCATTCCTCTTGCAACAGCTGGGGCGCTGGTCCTCGTCGGCTCTCTCCGCTACATCAAGATTCAACTATCATTGCAGCACAGCGACTACTGGCATCCTCATAAGCTCCCAGCAAGCAAGGCAGGCAAGCATATGCATAAGACTCCTGGTGGCGGCACGCACTCCCCTCAACGCTATCCCCTTGCTCCTAGTTTGCAGCGTCTGGTTGAACATGATGCACCGAGCTGGACTCGCACTTTACTCCCCGGAGTGGGAGCTGAGCAGCCCCGCGCTCATGTTCTCAGCTCTCTAGGGATAACACCTTGCAGCGCCTGGAAAACATGACGCACCCTGCTGCCCCGCGCTCATGTTCTCAGCTCGCTTAGGCCCCGCATCTTTCTGCTCCAAACAGATGCGGGCTCCCATCAGACGCAGCCTGGCTGAGCGACCATGCGAGAAGCCTCGCACTCATGCTCTCAGGCCTGCGCAGTGCGTCCTGCTATCCCATCGCAGTCCCGCATCTTATGGGGGATTATGAGCGCGAGCAAGCGTCCCGCTCAACATCATCGCTCCGGGGCCTAGGGCGCCAAACATGCTTAATCAAATAAACTTCTAATTGCATTCCCCGTTGTGGGTCTCTCCAGGATGAAATGAAGCCTGCGTAAGTTCACCCGGGTAGACCTGGCTGCTGCTGCCCAGCTCCTCCAGGACTGCTCTCATCCTCGGCTCATCGCACAGCAACACCCACTTCCAGTCAACCAATAACCGCCAGGCCAGCAAGTTAAAAGCCGGAGACGCCCAATTCCCGGCCTTCTCAAGTTTTGCATCCTCCGCCGCCCCACCTTCTCCTTCTACCATTTTGAGCGTGCTTGCCTGCTGCCTCTGCCGCCACCAGTGCCTAGGCCCTGGGGGGGGGATTATGAGCGCGAGCAAGCGCCGCGCTCAACATCATCGCTCCGGGGCCTAGGGCGCCAAACATGCTTAATCAAATAAACTTCTAATTGCATTCCCCGTTGTGGGTCTCTCCAGGAGGAACTATGTGACTTTGGTGGCATCTCTGATTGCCCCCCCGACCCAAAAATGGATTAAGGGGTAGAAAATGGATGGATGGATGGACTAAAAATAGTATTAAAGAGCAACAGCAGGGCAGGTCACAGTGGCAGAGGTGGAGTAGCCGCTTGGTTCAGACCATTTTCTATGCTCTGGTTCAGAGTGAAATTCTGAACGCTTTAGCATTTATATGTATAAAAAAAAAGGATAAACGCATTCCTCCAGTTGCTTTCTGCTAGATCTGCTTGGTTAGGACCATGAATCCTCTCTGTTCTGGTCTGGACCAGTGTAAAACAATAAACACTGTACTGCAGCTTTTACAGGTAGAAAAAGCACTATGTGGTGCACACTGGGGTTGTATTGCACAGTTTTTCCAATATGGTTTTACTGCAAATGGCAAATCAATTCTTAAATAAGAGGCTCAACTTGTTACCCGTATGAATGACACCTGTTTGTATATAACTTGTAAATAATGGAGACCTCTCCATAACATCAAACAGTCAAAGCTCTGCTATGGCCGGAAGAGATAATCTTCTGCATTTAGCATTTATTGTAACAGGAAAATAAATGTTTCAATTGAACTTTTGGTTTTCTTGGTCTTCCTTCAAGGTCAAATTATGCAACAAGTTCTTTTATTCTTGGGTTTCATTAAACTGGCCAGTAGAGGGCGAATGAGCAGAGATGGGACAACTCAATTTTGCTCCCATTGAAAACCATGTAAAGTCTGTTTTGGAGTCAAAAGGTTGTACGGTTGTTGTAACAGTCTTAATCGGGGACGTCTCGATGGCTATCTGCATTCAGCAAAACTATGGCACAGGACTAATCTATTCATTAAAGAGTGATTTAGGCCTGGTTTGTGCTGACCTTGTGAATGATGGATGACAGCACAGAGGCCTCTCTCCTCTCACACTCTCGTCTAATTAACGGCACACACGCTTTTGTGAAGACTGCCGTAAACAAATGCCCGGAATTACGCTCAAAGTGCTTCATTCGTTTGTGAAAATATGTGGTACAGCTCAATTAAAGATTGTTGTTTGTTTGCCAAGAGATTTAACACAGACGCTTCACCTTTAAGTGTGGTTATCATGGTTTTGGAGGTTTTTGTTATGATGTGAATTCTCAACACTCTCCTCATTCAGCATGTGATTTATAAATATGTATAAAGGTTAAAGTAGTAAACTCTGTGGAAGGATCATCTTTTATGGAGCAGAAGAATCACAGAGGGACAGAAAGAAGCTGGATAAGGTCACTAGAGAGTCCTGCTCTGCACTGAAGGAGGGCCGTGGACAATTCAATACAATTTATATTGGTATAGCCCAAAAATACAATAGTTATTTCGGAGGACTTTGCAAAACGGTTTAATTTGACCAAGTTAGATCTGAAAATCAAACACAAGAAATGCAATGATACAAAAAAAACCCACAAGGGGCAAATGACCAACATCCATAAATGTTGATAAAGTCTGTAAATGTCGTTCAATATTTCGAGCAGATCATCACTACTGTCCTTGGATCCTCCTGCATCACTCTCTCTGCCCTGGAGAGCAGTTTCAGGGACAGGCCGATCCACCCTCCATGTGTTAAGAAGAGCCTGCTTCTGTTAGACTGTACAACAAGAACTGCTGAACCTGTAGATACGTCATTCACCTGTTCTGATAATTCACTAGGAACTATACCCATTGATATTTTTCAATTTGTGTTACTCTGTTCATATTCTTGGCAGCTAAAGAACAATATGAACCATCTGTACACAAGAAACTGTAGCTGTTAACTTCTGTGTATACTCCACAAATGTACTTATCTGTGACCCAAGTGCAATTATAGCCCCTGAGTTTATTACCTATTTATTATCTATCATCTTAAATAATAAATCCTGTTGGATGTGTGCTTAACCTGAGTGCTCTTACGGCTTCTTCTGTTCTGCTTTAATGTGCAACGATGACACTGACATTTCCCACGAGGGACAAACAAAAGTTTATCTTGTTTTATCTAATCTTATGTTATCTTATCTTAAAATTCAAATGACTTGAGCTTAGTTGAATCTGTGTAAAAAAATCTATTGCTTAAAGGAGCTATACCCGTTTCTGCAAGGTTTTTTCAGTTTGAATGTTTAGCACCGCCCCCAACTCGCTCACGGGCTTCTCATTTCCCCTACGCTCTCCTGCCACGGAGCCACCTAGTTTTATTTGCGATCTGATACGTATGCAATCAAAATATGAAACTGAAAGATTACCGCTAGTAGTCCAAATGTAGTCCGAGCATAGATAGTCCGAGGCGGTCCCGCAGGTCTCTCCCATAGACTGTTAGTCTCTCCAGAGGATACGATGTAAGCTAGCTCTGTTCACCCGAGCTTGATTTCTTCTTTGATTATTTTTTCGCTTTAGTTCCTGTCAAATAAACTGTTGGCCGACACAGCTTACTGAATTCGACTTGTCTGCTTTATTAACAACTCGCATATATATCATGCTGCTTACATGTTTCAGATCTCGTCTGTCTAACATCGAACTCTCGCGTTACTTCCTATATATAATGTATTAACTACGTAATGCACCCTTTACATTACAGATACCTTGACATCTCCCCCTCAAATTATTATACTTATATAACATGGGGTCACAACATAAACTTATAACTAGTAAACCTTATTACCTGTTAGTTTAAACAACTTAAAAGAGTTACTGCTTTTCTTTCTTATCTTTACCCATTAACCTTAAAATACTGTACTTCTCAGATTACTTCTAAATGTAAATAATAACTCAAACTTAACTTAAATCCTTAATAAAACTTAAATTCACTGTTCTCTGAGTTGCTTAACTACATGTCCATTCTTTTCACAGGTCTACTAACTCTACCAAACCTGGTCACTGTCAGTCCTTCTGGTATTACTGTAGGACTCTTAACATTACTCTCACACAGTCCCTGGTCAGAGCCGTGTTGTGGTGCTTCTTGCTCTGGCTCTGTGGCAGGTTGCCCAGAGTCTGTGTTCTCCTCTTCCATCGGTGGCGGCACTTGTTGAAGATGACGCCTGTTTCTCCTCATCTCTCCTCCTCCTGGCGACTTCACCTGGTATGAGCGCGGCGTGCCGCACTCCTGCTGCACCGATGCTCGACCTTTCCACACCTTCTCCCCGTCCAGCTTGGACAGGACGTGGTCACCTGTGTGCAAGGGTGGCAAGTCCCTCGCTCCGTGTCTCCGGTTGTAGTAGAATGCCTGTTGTTGTTTGGCTTCTTCATCACGGCGACGGATGAGGTCACGGTTTGGCTGCATTGGAATGAGGTTTTTCTTTAGAGATGGCAGTGTGGTGCGAATCTTACGCCCCATGAGCATTTCTGCCGGGCTCACTCCTGTGGATGTGGTGGGGGTGGCGCGGTAGCTCATTAAAGCCAATAGTGGGTCGTCCTGCTTGAGTATGCGCTTTGCAGTTTGCACAGCGCGCTCTGCATGCCCGTTCCCTTGTGGGTTGTGCGGGCTGGATGTGGAATGTTTAATGTCATACAGCCTGCAAAACTCTTTCCAAGCATCACTGGTATACTGGGGCCCGTTATCACTGACTAAAAGCTCAGGGATTCCGAACCTGGCGAATGTTGCTTTCATGGACCTCACTACCTGTTCTGTAGTTGTGGTTGATAAGTGTAGTATCTCCAGATACCGTGAGTAATAATCTGATATTACTAAGTATTGTTTTCCTTTGTATTCACAAATGTCTGTGGCTATCTTTTGCCAAGGTCTCTCAGGCAGGGGTGTTGACAGTAACTGCTCTCTGCGCTGAGTGCGTCTGTTTCTCAGACAAAAGTTGCACTTGTCAATTTTTCTTTTAATGTCCCCTGACATCTTGGGCCACCACACAGTCTCTTGAGCACGTTCTCTACACTTGGACAGGCTCTGATGTCCCTCGTGTAGGCGCTCTACCACCTCCTGTCTCAAGGCCTGTGGGATTACAATGCGACAGCCCAGCGTGATCAGGCCCTCACATTCAGACAGTGAGTCTCTCATGTCGTAGAAGTCTCTAACACTGTGTGAAGTGCTACTCACTCGTTTGGGCCATCCATCCCTGATCAGCTTTCTCACGTGCTGGAGCTGTGGGTCCTCCTGCGTGGCTGTCCTGATCCGGTCCAGCTTGCTTTGTGAGACAGGCCAGCTGTGTGTCACTGCGTTCACGTGGCTCGCAATGACTGCTTCCGTAGTGCTGTAGCTCTCCTTCAGCGGGCTGCGTGACAGTGCGTCGGATATGACCAACGTTTTGCCCGGTGCGTACTCGGCCTTTGCATTGAAGCGCATAAGCCTCATCAAAAGTCTCTGACACCTAACAGGCACCGCGTCTAGGTCTTTGCTGTTTATCAGCGGTACCAGCGGCTTGTGATCTGTTATGAGTCTAAATTTGTCCATGCCAACCAGGTACTTCTGGAACCGCTCACAGGCCCATACTCCTGCCAAACATTCCTTCTCGATTTGAGCGTACCTGGTTTCCGCGTCCGTTAATCTTCTGGAGCAGTACGCTACAGGCTTCCAGCTCTCTCCGTGCAGCTGGAGCAGGACTCCTCCCATCCCGTAGCTACTCGCATCCGCTGACACTGCGGTCGGTCTCTGTGGATCATAGTGGGCCAGTACAGGCGAGGTGACGAGGGCTTCTTTCAAGCGCTGAAACGCTCGCTGCTGTGGCTGGTCCCAGGTCCAGGCCATCTTCCCCTTTAGGAGATCGTACAGTGGGCCTGCGACATTTGCCATGTCTGGTATGTATTTGCTCATGTAATTTATCATGCCTAATGCACGCTTCAGTTCATGTACATTGGTGGGCGCATCCAACTCTCTGACGGCGCTCACCTTTTCTGGGTCCACTCGAACCCCGTTGGCGTCCACGATGTGGCCCAGGAAGCGTAGCTGTGGTTGTGCATAAACACATTTTTCTTCATTCAGCTTAAGGCCTACTTGCTTCATACGTTCGAGTGTGCTTTGCAAGTGTCTGTCATGTGTGGCCTTGTCCTTTCCATGCACAATCACGTCATCCATATACCCTGCGACTCCTTCCAGGCCATCTAGCAGCTCATGCATTTTGCGCTGGAATATCTCTGGGGCTATATTAATCCCAAACGGAAGGCGGGTAAAACAGTACCTCCCGAAAGGTGTGATGAATGTGGTTAGAATTCTGCTTTCTTCGTGAAGCGGTATCTGCCAAAAGCCTGAGGCAGCGTCGAGGGATGTGAACACGGTGGAGCCCGCCAGCTTAGCCAGCGTCTCATCTGTGGTAGGTAGCTGGTAAGTTTCTCTCTTCAGGTTCTCATTCAGCTTCTGGAGCCCTACACAGATTCTGACGGCGCCTGACGGCTTCAGGACTGGCACCATTGGCGCGCACCATTCTGTCGGTTGTGTCACTTTGACAATCACGCCATGTTCCTCCATGCGCTGTAGCTCAGCTTGGACTTTCGAAAGGAGTGGCAGTGGGACTCTCCTGGCTGTGTGTACGGCGTGTGGCACGGCGTCGTCACGTAGGTGTATCTTCACCGGGTCGGTCTTCATCGTGCCCTGGTGGACGGCTGCTGCAGCTGACCTGCTGTACTCGCTTAACCAGCCCCATCTCCACTGCTGTATCTCTGCCCAGTAAGTTATTAACTGTAGGCCCTCTAGCCACATATATATTGAATATGTGCTTTCTCTGTTTATGTAATGTGCTAGCTGTAAATTGTCCCATAATGTCCAATGTTCCTCCTGGACTCTCTAATGGGCCATGGTGTGGCTCCAGCTTTCTTTCTGGTTTGAGTGCCTTGAATGTTTCCATGTTCATTACAGTGACGTCAGCACCTGTATCAATTCTAAATTTCACTGGTGTATACCCTATGTGAATTTGCTCAGTCCATTGCTCTGCACTGCTTTGTTTTTGTTTACTCACTGCACCAAGATAGAAGCTTTCGTCCTCATCATTTCCTTGGTTAACTTCCCTCACAGTCTTTGTGAAGCATTTTCTTTCCCAATGCCCCTTCTTCCCGCACTTCCTGCATTCGGAATCCGTTGCTGGGCATTTGGCTGCATTTTGGTGCTTTTCTTTACCGCACCGATTGCACTTGCTCCCCCTTGGTAGCCGTGCCGCTGTCCTCCGCTCCTCTCTCCCTGCGGTTTCCCTCCTTTCTTCACGAACCTCTTTTGTTTCACTGCTTGCACCGCCAGTGGAGCCTGCTGCTCTTGCTGGGTTATCTGTTGTGCTACCTCTTCAGCTTGCCTCACCATAAGCACTGCCTTTTCGAGGGTTAAATCCGAAGTTAATTGCAATTTTCTGGACAGGTCTTTATCCCTTATCCCAACGACCAATTTGTCTCTTATGTGTTCATTTTTCTTATCGCCAAACTCACAGTTCTCACTCAGTTCGTGCAGGGCTCGGATAAATGTCTCCGCCATTTCCCCTGGTTTCTGTTGCCTTTGGTAAAAGCATGCCCTTTCATGTATTGTGTTTCGTTTGGGTATGAAATACTCATCAAACTTTTCCAAGACAGTCTCATAATCATTTTCGTCTTCTTCCTCCGTGAAGGTAAAAGTCTTGAAAATATTTTCGGCTTCGTTGCCCATTGCGTAAATTAACGTGCTAACCTGGACGTCGGCATCCTCGAGGCTTAGCTTGGAAGCTGACCTGAATCGTGCGAATCTCTGTCTCCACGACGGCCATTCTCCCGGTTTCTCAAAGTTGAAGTTTTCCGGTGGCTTGAACTTTGCCATTTCTGTGCGTGTGTTCTCTCCTAGAGCACTTCTGACACCATGTCAAATAAACTGTTGGCCGACACAGCTTACTGAATTCGACTTGTCTGCTTTATTAACAACTCGCATATATATCATGCTGCTTACATGTTTCAGATCTCGTCTGTCTAACATCGAACTCTCGCGTTACTTCCTATATATAATGTATTAACTACGTAATGCACCCTTTACATTACAGATACCTTGACAGTTCCCTCTTCTCTTCCTTACTGTTGTGTCATTTGGGCTGTTTTGCTGTGTCTGCAGTTACAACCGGAGGCATTAGAGCCACTTTCTGCTAACATGCTAATGTGTTTAGCTGCGCTGTAGAGGCTAGAGGAGGCGTTCGTAACAGCGCCACTCCTCGTTCTGTGATTGGAGGAGAGCGGGCGTCACAGTAAAGTCTCTACTCAGCACTTTTAACGGCCTGAATTCATACACAGCGGAATCAATGAGCTCAAGTTCTCAATTAAATTGCAGATTTTAACACAACTTGAATGTAGTAATAAGCATTTTTATGAACTCATTAGAAAATTAATCAGGTTTACCTTCTTTAAAATTTCTTTAAAAATTGCATTTACGCCAGACTCAACAGGATTTATGAGCGTCTGAGATACGCACAGATCTGAGCGTACGCTTACGCGGCTGTTGATAAATGCCGCGGTGAAAACTAGCGTATTCATGAAAGTCATGCCTAGAAATATTCAGAAAACGCCCCGTTTTTGCGTCAGCTCAGGATGGAAGCCGGCCAGCAAGTCTAGTTGGAAGCATCAGAAGGCCTGTTAGTGACACGCACAGAGTTTATATTGAGTTTTATTGTATTATTTTGTCAAAAAAAAAAAAAGGCTATATTATGTATACACGTTTTTCCCTAGTTTCTAGACCCACTGCAGCGCATCTCTTTAGAAATGAATGAATGAATGAATGACTATTAATATCTCAGCGGTGACTCTCATCTGAGTCAAGCGTCAGCGGCATCTTCTTGTGAATGCAAGAAGATGCCGCTCTCTGTGAGAGAGAAAGGATGCGTATGAGTCAGATTAAGAGATCCCATATTCGTTCCACAGTGGGGAAATTTCAGTCCAGAGAAAACAATCACAGAGAAACCGCGAGTGTGGTGGGACCTCTGTGGCACCTGCTGCACATGCAGTGCGCTCCGGCTCTGCCCGAGAGCTCGTTCCTACAAAAAACAAACAAAGCGCTTTGCCATATCTCTGCCATCGCTGTGTTTATGGGGCTTTATGCACAAAACTAAGGAGGAAATATGTTGTTTGTCAGAGGTGAATGAGACAAAACTAATAGCCATGTGTAATTACGCAGGGTCTGCCACAGATTTACACAATACACACACATTAAGTAAGTAAGTATGGTGTATTTGTATAGCGCCTTCACAGAGCAGGATCACAAAGCGCTTCACATTTAAACAAAAAAAAACATACAGATGAAAATAACACACACACAAGTCAGACTAAAAAAACGAAGAAACAGAAGACGGTCCTCATCATGAAGGGTGAGGGTTCTCTTATTTACAATCGCTGTTTTCCGAAGTTTGCTAAGGCTCCAGGTAATAAAAGGGATAAAGCAGCCTGGTGTAGCAGGGTCAGACCGGTTTGAGAGCAACATTGAATAGAGTATGGTTTTTAAACATGTTCTGTATTCTTACTCATTAACGTTGTTAAATACACAGGAAGTGAAATAACATCAAAATGGATTAAGGCAGGGGTGTCCAAACTTTTTAGTTGGAGGGCCACTTTAGTTCACCAGACTTGCCTGGAGCCCGACAACTGCTTTTGGGCTTTGATATTGGGTATGATATGCTCATTTTTTATTAACACTGGTATACACTTTTGGGACACAATTGAAAACAAATGATAGTATATACAAATAAAGTGAATTGCAAAGGGACAGAGCTTTTCAACGAGATGCAGGATGACTACATTGGCGGAGCTGAAGTTGGCTGGATGACTCTGTGAAAGTGCCTCAATGTATTGTATTAGCAAGGCAATGAAACAGTGGGCTACATTTGGCTCTGGTTTGGACATATCTGGATTAAGAGGAAGAAATGCAGATGAATCTGTAAAACTGGACTTGAAACTGCTCAGATCTATGTATACAGCCTTTTTTACTATACCAAACAATATTTTTTAAGGATGTTACAATTTGTATCAAGTCAAAGGAAGCTCCAATAAACCCCTGTTCCATGTGTGCGTTTTGAGTCTCAGCAGATACGATGTGGTTGTGATGCAGAAGCTGTTTGTGTAATCGCCGCAGAAATATACGAGTCATTTCTACAAGAAGGTTATGGCTTCAATGTCTTTGTGAGATCAACGTGAGACAGAACGTTCCGGCTGCAGACGCTTTGTGCAGAAACAGGAGACGAGCTGCTGTTGAGAATCACCAAACTGCTCCACGTTTGCATTTGTGAGTTTGTTGCTCTGTATTTGTCAATAGAAAACCTGAAGCATTCAATACACTTGAATTTATTTGTGTGTATCCCTAAATCACTACACGTCTCATAGGGGTTTACAAATGTGTTAATTCGCCAACAATAGATCAGAGAATCAAACAGTTTGATGGTGACTTCCTGTATCCGGTGAGCGTGTTTCTTGACTGCTATCACTCTGCTCTCTGTTTGCACTAACAAACACATTACAAATCCACGTATTGTACACCAAGCTAACTGTGTAAGCACTCCGAGTCAGCTGTACTGCAGCTGAGGTTTAGGTAGCGGTTGTTTGTCTGGTCTCGGAGTCTGTTGTGCGGGCCCGGATCCGTACTAGCTTAGCCTAGCCTAGCTTAGCCTAGCCTAGCCGCTAACTCGCTATTATGGCGGCTGCTGTCTCTCCCTCAATCCTTTACTGCTCGAGTTGCCATATGGCGAGTCTAAACCCTGGATCCTTCTCTGAGGGTAGTGATAGATGTGTGAAGTGTAGTGTAGTCGTAGCTTGGGTTAGGGCTGGTTTAAATCCTATTTATCAGATCGATATCACTTCGTCAATGTGAATCAGGACTCGTCGCCTTATTCTGGAGTGGAATTCGGTGTGCCGCAGGGTTTGGTACTCGGACCGATTCTTTTTACTCTCTACATGCTGCCACTGGGAAATATTATTAAAAAGCATGGAATTAATTTCCACTGCTATGCAGATGACACACAGCTTTATCTGTCGATGAAGCCTAACCAGACAGATCAGCTAGAAAAGCTCAGTGCCTGCATAAAGGACCTTAAAATGTGGATGACTCTTAACTTCCTACTTCTCAACCCGGAGAAGACAGAAGTGATCTTACTCGGTCCGAAGCGCCTGCGTGACTCCCTCACTAACCAGATGGTTACTCTCGATAATGTCAGTATAATACCCAGTAACACTGTGAGGAATCTTGGAGTCATTTTTGACCAAGAACTCTCCTTCAAGGCTTATATAAGCCAAGCAACTAAAACGGCGTACTTCCACTTACGGAACATCGCTAAAATTAGGAATTTCCTTCCTAAAAGTGACGCGGAAAAACTCATTCACGCGTTTGTCACCTCAAGGCTCGACTACTGTAACGCTTTACTGGCAGCGTGCCCTAAAGCGTCTTTGAAGAGCTTCCAGCTCGTTCAGAATACAGCAGCTAGGATCTTAACAGGTACCAAAAGGAGGGAGCACATAACTCCGGTGTTAAAATCACTCCACTGGCTCCCTGTGGAGTACAGAATAAAGTTTAAAATCCTACTCTTAACATATAAAGCCATAAATGGCTTGGCTCCCTCTTATCTCCAAGACACGTTAGTGTCGTATCAACCAGGTCGAGCGTTGCGCTCGACCTGGTTGCATGACAGCTGATGCGCTCACAAAACGCCAGACGTCTGGTGGTCCCTAAGGTCTCAAAGGTCACTGTTGGTGGCAGAGCATTTAGCTACCAAGCTCCTTTACTGTGGAATCAGCTTCCCATTTATGTTAAGGAAGCAGATACGGTCTCCACATTCAAGGCCAGGCTTAAAGCACTTTACTTTAATTTAGCATATAATTAGGTAATATATAATATGTAGTGTATATATTATATATATATGCTGTATTATGTTATATATTATGTTATATATTATTCAATAATGTATTGTGTTATGTTGTATATTATGCTGTATGTTATTCTTTATTCAAGGCTAGGTTTAAAACAGTCCTCTTTAGTTTAGCATATGGCTAGGAAGGTAAGACTCGGAGAAGGTTAAACTCCTCAGAGTGTTAGTCAAGCTGCATAGGGAGTCAGTTTGCTGGGAGAAGTATGGTAACTTGAGCACTATCCTCTCCTCCTTCCTACTTTATCTGTTTAGCATTTTTAGGATTCTGACTGTAGTTTGTTCATTGCTATTCACCCGTTGTCCCATTGTCTGTTTCATGGTACGATGACGGGATCTCTGAGCCTGGCCTCTTCCATCTACACCTGCGGAAAATTCAATAAAAACCAACACACAGGAGCCATTGGTCCATAGGGAGCGGGATGAACAGTCTGCCGGAGGAGCTCAGGGCCGCAGAGAAAGTTTTTTAAAGGCAGGCTCAAGACACGCCTTTTTAGATTAGCTTTTCATTAGTATTTATTATTTACTATTATTGCCATCCATCCATCCATTTTCTACCCCTTAATCCATTTCTGGGTCGGGGGGGTGGCAGTCAGAGCTGCACCCAGTTCACAGAGCACCAGCCCCTCACTGATCCTCCTGCAGGTGGTGAGTCCACAGGAGCTGAGATCTTTCAGTGGGGGCTTCAGGCAAAGTGGGGTTAAGTGTCTTGCCCAAGGACACAACGACAGCAGTCATCAGTGGGAGTTACTATTATTGCATTTTAGTTAATTTATTTTGATTTATTTTATTGTGTCATTTACTATTGTTATAATTAATATTAGGCAGCTGCCATTTTCTTATTAGTCTTAGTTTGGTATCCCCAGTGTTTCCTCTGGAGGAGCCCTCTGTACTGGGAGCTGGGACCTGCTGTGGCTGCGGGAGTCTGGCTCTTGGATCTAGTGGGGATCTGGGGGCCTCCTTTCTCCTCTGGGTCCTGTGTCGCTCCATGTGGCTGCAGGTGGCTCTTTGCTCCTGGTGCAGATGGCTCCTTGGATGTCGCTTCTTCAGCTGGATACATCTGCACCCAGCCCTATATCTTTTCATAGTTTTACCTATTTCACCTATCTGTTGTGACTTTATATGTGTCTGTCTGTGTGTGTGTGTGTGTGCGTTTTTATGTGTGTATGCATGTGGGTGTATTATCAATAAGGGTGGTTTTGGGTGGGTCTGTGGGGCGGTGGGGTTCAGGGGTGGGCATCTTGGATTGTTTTTATCTAAACTGTAAAGCACTTTGTGTTGCATTTTTTTGTATGAAAAAGCGCTTTATAAATAAAATGTGATTGATTGACCACAAAAATAGCCATAAATATCCATATACAGTATTCTTTAATTCCCCGGATAATCACCTCCTGCATCGGGAAAATAACGTCTCAAAAATCCAGTATTATAAATGTTTATCCTTTTGTTTATTTTTTATTTAATGTCTATTTCTTACATATGTTTTATTTCCGGTTCCAAAACATGAAAAACACGGAAATACTTTCATTATTAAGTTTATATTGAAATTGCTTTATCTGTCTTTATTAATATATTAATTTTATAATTGCTGTATTGTTTGATCTTCTAATCAGTTTGATTCTCTGATCTGTTGTCAGCAAATCCACAACTTTGTAAAGTGCTTCGAGTTGTTATGATGTCTAATTATTTGGATTGAATGATAAATAAACGGTCTTTCACATGTTATTCCTTTTGCTACCACCATCTGGAGGAGGTGAATTTCTTCTTGAAAAAACTCAAAACTTTCATTCAAACACTCAAACATTCAAAACTTTCAGTGTTGCATTAGCCTGGCCTTATCCATCCGTACACTCCGCTCAATTATCATTTCACTGCATGTAACGTCTGGGTCTGGTTCCATGTGTTTGCGATTACAATCGGTTGAATTCCATCCGACCAATCAGCAAGCGCGGAAGGTGGGTGTTGTAGTTAGTTGTGGGTGATGACAAGAGTTTGCGTCGAACGGGCAGGTTGTAGTTTGGCGAAGAATGCAATAATACAGTAATCCAGTCTGGTTGTATAAAGAAATTGAAGCCGGAGCCAGAGGAATGTTTAGCAAATGTAATCGCTGGCAAAGATTGTAGCGCTACTCCCCACGGGCTCCGTTAGCGGCAAAGGAGATGGCTAGGCTAAATGCTAAATGCGAACTACTCACTCGGGCGCATTACAAACGTCACGGTAAACTCAGATCCAATCGTTTCGATCTGCAAAAGGAGTTAACCACTCCCACCTGTTAACAGAGCTCAATGGAGCACCTCCGAAACCTTAGTACCAAATGTAATTTGTACTATGGTGTGGTACGACCAGGCTAGTGTTGCATCATAGTAGGAATGAAGAGCACTTAACACAAAATAAGTGAACAATTACTCTATACTAAAATAAAATAAAATCTCTAGCATAATAAAGAAGCAAGAATTAAGGATAAAATCTCTGACTTTCGCATCAAGAAAAGTAAGAAAGAAGTTGAGAAAGTGGCAAAACTGTTTTAGGACCAATACTTTTGTTTTTAAATTACATAAAACACATCATAATAGTGTGAGGATTAAACACAACACAACATTAATCTGCACCAGGATTAAGACATTTAGGATGGACTTGTTTGTGCCAGAAGTTTCAGATATTAGCATGTATGGATCTAAACACAGCCCCAGGTCTGTTGCACTGTTTTGTTACATGGATTCAGCCTCAGAAAAGACACATTTTTTAACCACGTTGCAACATTGTTTCCTCATCACAAACACGAGGCTGTTTTTATCTCTGAGACAGATTGGCAGAAACACACAGCTCGAGAATCGTTTAGTTTTGACATTTTCTACAGTCACATTTCTCCAGTCTTTCCAACTCTTGTCTTTTCAATTAACCACCGTAGATTCAGATCTAAATCTGTGATACAAAAGTGATACAAGATATTACAAAAATGCTCAAATTTTACAACATGTATCTTAATTTGAGGACATTATGACTGCCTTAAAACAAGATTGCCAACGGGACAAAATGATCTTAACACAGTCTGAATGTGCTCTAATAAGGATAAAATCCACTTGATTCATGCAATTATTACCTCATATTAAATCATGTTTTGCAGTGTAGGAGACATTGGTCCATCTACCACTAAAAGATCAGTGTTGAAATTCTCGTTCTTTTTGTATTTTGTTCATATTGGAGCAAAAACTAGTCCAATAACTCTAACCCAATTCCTTATTCAGAGTGTGCCCCGCAAGAGTCCGTTCTCACCGTCCATGTCCAGTCTCTGCATAATGATGGCCAGCTCCACCTCTGAGGGCATGTATCCCAGCGAGCGCATGGCCATCCCCAGCTCCTGTTTGGAGATGAAGCCGTTCCCATCGCGATCCAGGACCCTGAACGCCTCACGGATCTCTGCAACACAACATAACGCAACATAACACAACAGCTTGAGTCAGAGAAGACAGTGTTTAGACCCAGTGTCGTTTGGATGTTTGCATCTTTTTCTCTTTTACTCTTCTACTTTTCTGCTTGAATTATTTGGCAATTAAATGAATCCATTTTGGCATCTGTAGTCCCCCATGTTTTTGCATTGGCTGAACACAAGAACTCCCAGGGCAGTCAAATTGACTGCTGAAGTTTTAGTTTAGGAAGTGTATTTAGATTACGTACATACATTTTTGTCTTCCTTACTTCCTGCTCTGGACAGAGCAGTCGCATTCTCTTGCTGCTCCTCGCTTGCTGCTTTTTAATCTCCTTTAATCATTTTTGCTTACATTTTTATTCCACAAAACACGGATTACTCCTTTTTGCATACTTCAACACAAGACTTGGGGAATTTACCTAACTTACAGCATGTCGGGAGGACGGGAAAAAAGAACAAAACTTTGCGACGGCTGTTTTTCACTCAAACAGGAGCTAAAACTTCTTCAAGACCGAATGTTTGTGCTTGAATCAGAATTGGGGCTGAACACAACAATACCAGTGAAAGGAAATGGACCAAATGGACAGAACGTAAGTTATGATGACGCTATTGCATTTCCCAAAATCAACAGAGACAATTGTTGGAACACATATGGTGCCAAGCCCAAACAAGGCAAAGCTAATGATAACAAGAGTGTCATAATGCCACAGCAAAAATCTTTAATTACAAAGAACCGCTATTCACCACTTTTGGAAGATGAATCAGCAGTAGCCTCTCAGTCCCAGTCTCAGTCTCAGTCAAGGTCAAATGCAGCTGAGTCGCTCTTTATCGGGGATTCTGCGATAAGACATGTAAACATGCGTAATCTGAAGGTTCACTCAGTACACTCTGCCAAAGTGGATGAGATAAGGCGGTTGGCTCCGAGGCTTCTGTCTGAGACCGGCGGGGTAAAAAGATTGTTGATCCACGTGGGGGCAGTAGACGTCTATGACAACACAAGTGAAAAGTTGAAACGGGATTATTCTCTCTTATTGGACGACCTTGCTAAAATGGACGTAAAAATCGTTATCAGTGGCCCACTACCAAATGTGGACGGGAAGCAAATGAAATTCAGTCGTCTGTATCAGCTAAATACTTTTCTACTCAACGAATGTTCACGCAAAGGACTTGCCTTCATTGAGAATTTTAATCTGTTCTGGAATAGGCATGAGCTTTTTGAAGGGAAAGGGCCACATCTGAACGCTTACGGAGTAAAAGTGTTGATGGATAACCTTTCTTTTGCCCTGAGACCTCAGCCTGCGCAGGGCATGCAGCCATCGAAAGGGAGGAAGCCGACTCTAAAAGTCTCTGCACCTCCACCACCTCGAAGGATCTCAACACCTCCACCACCTCGAAGGATCTCAACACCACCACCACCTCGAAGGATCTCAACACCACCACCACCTCAAAGGATCTCAACTCCACCACTGTCATCAGAAGCAGCTGCATCATCACCAGCAGCAGCTGCATTATCACCAGCAGCAGCTGCATCATCACCAGCAGCAGCACCAGCTGCACGACCACCACCACCAACATTCTCATCCCCAGCCTGCTCCAAAGCAGACAGGCCTGTGCTGGGGTTTCCTCAACCACCTGCCCCTCCATCAAAGACTCCCTCGCCACCTCCCATAGACCTGTCTTGGGTCCCCCCTGCCACGTCCACTCCATCAAGAGAGAATGGGGACACGTCCCTTTGTTTTTCATCCCCGCCTTCACTGTTAGACCTACCTGAACACTCTGCAGGGCTAATAAAATTAGCGATGAAGACTATTCCTCTCACACCCATATTAGCTAGATCTAAGGTCCTGTCCAACATTCTAAACCACTCCCCATATGTACCTCCAAAACCACCTAGGGTTTCCAATTCACCTACAAAAACCACCTCAGCCAGTCCCTCCCCTAACCTCATGACCATTCCACCCCCACTTCCCCCTCGTTCAACACCCAAAACCTCTGCCTCAGCCCACCCCGGCCCTAACCCATCACCAAAAACCCCTCCACCTCCCTGCCCCCCTCGTTCAACACCCAAAAGCCACCCACCTCTCCATCCTCCTCCCCCGCCTTCCCCTTCCCCTCTTTTCTCTAAACACTAGGATGCACAGGGTCTTTGCATCGCAGCCACTGGCAGTCTAGTTAGAGGAGAGACCCGGCTGGGGCCCTGTCACTGCTCAGGGCCACCTGTGCCCACCTGTGCCATTCCCTTAGTGATAACACAAAGAATACATTACAGAAAGACATCTGGAGTTAATCAGTCTAATCTGGAAAATCTAATTTTTGTTCCGTGTAAGAATCAGCCGACCACAACCGCTGATACTGAAACTTTGAAACTTGCTAGGCTTAATGTCAGATCTTTTTGTAACAAGTCTTTTTTAATCAATAATTTTATTTGTTCTCATAATCTTGATCTTATGTTCATGGCTGAAACTTGGCTTGACCAAAATTCAGGAAATGCAGTTTTAATAGAAGCATCACCACCAAATTTCAAATTTGAATCTGAAATACAATACAATACAATACAATACAATTTATTCTTGTATAGCCCTAGGTCACAACAGAAGTCATCTCAGAGGACTTAACAAAACCATTGAAATCACCAACACAGGTCAGAGAATCAACAGTTAAAACACATGAAGAATATAAAGCACACACAGAAGAAAATGTCCATACATGTTGTAGAATGCTAAAGTGTCCTGATCATCACCAATCCTTTCTGTTGGACACTAACTGTCCAACAAGACCCTCCTGCATCGACAAGGAAAAACTCTTAAAAAACCCAGTGGGAAAAAGTGAGAAACCTTGGAGGAGAACTAGGGAAACCCACAGGGAGGGAGACCCATATGAGAAAGGGATCCGCTCCTCCGGACGGACAGGCTAATGAAAATAAATATTATAATAAATGAAATACGGGAAAACAAAAAAGGAGGAGGCTTAGCTGCCATTTTTAGAGACCACTTTGTCTCCCATAGAATGTCTCTTGGGAAGTTTTCGTCATTTGAATATGTGTCTTTTAAAATACAACAAAAACAATCTCCTCCATTACTCTTCATTGTCCTATACAAGCCACCACAGTCATGTCACAGTTTTATTAATAATTTTACCGAGTTGCTTTCAGTTGTATGCACAGATTTTGATAGTTTGCTTATTACAGGTGATTTTAATATTCATGTAGATAATGTTGATGACAGAAATGCAAATGAGCTGAGTTCTGTACTTGAATCCTTTGATCTCACTCAGCACGTAAGTGGCCCCACCCACAGCAGAGGGCACACTCTAGATCTGTTAGTTACTAAGGGGGTGAATATTTCAAATGTAAACGTGGTCGATGTTGCTCTTTCGGATCATTTCGGTGTTTTTTTTGACATGTGTTTCACTAACAAACCACCAGTGGACTCTGCAACTGTTCGACGAAGGCGCATAAATGAAAATACGAGTGAATTATTTATGGGAATGATAAACTTTGAGAATGCATCGTATTCTACTGTAGATGAACTGATTAACTCTGTCACCTCTAGTGTTTTGAATGTTCTGGATACCGTTGCCCCTGTGAAGGTTAAAATAGTGAAAAATAAGCAGAAGGCGCCGTGGGCTAAAGCAGACTCGGTCAGGGCACAAAAGAGAAAGTGCCGGAGGGCCGGGTGGAAGTGGCGCAAGTCCAACCTCCAGGTTAATTACAAGATCTTCAAAGATAAGTTGTGCGAGTTTAACCGGGTGCTACGTAGTACGAGAGAAAGGTATTTTTCTGAAATGATTGAAGGCTGCAGCAACAATCTGCGTGTTCTGTTCTCAACAGTTAATAGATTAACAAACCCCCCTGTTCAAATGCCATTAGAGAGTACTTCCAAACGTAAATGCAATGAGTTTGCTAATTTTTTCAATGACAAGGTTCAAGGCATCAAAAACGCCATTGTCTCCAATCCACAGATAACCATCCAACAGCCAGAAAGGCTCTCTGAGCTAACTCACTTTGCACCTGTAAATGATCAAACTGTCCAAGAGATAATCTCCAGTTTGAGCTCCTCCACATGCAGCCTGGATGTACTACCCACTAGATTTCTGAAGTCTGTTCTGAGCAGTCTGTTACCTTCACTCACACAGATAGTAAACATGTCCCTTCATTCTGGAATATTCCCAAAGGCCCTGAAAACTGCAGTCATCAGGCCCTTGCTAAAAAAGAGCAGTCTGGATGCTACGGTACTTAACAACTATCGTCCCATCTCAAATCTGCCATTTATGGGGAAAGTCCTTGAGAAAGTTGTCTACCTACAGCTTACTAGATTTCTTATAATCAACAACTCATTTGATATGTTTCAGTCCGGCTTTAGACCCCACCACAGCACTGAGACTGCTCTCGTTAAGGTTACAAACAATATCCGTCTGAACACTGACGCAGGCAAAGTCTCAATCCTAATCCTGTTAGATCTGAGTGCTGCTGAGACACTGTCGACCATGAGATCCTCTTACAGAGACTAGAGGACTGGGTTGGCGTCGCTGGCACCGCCCTAAGTTGGTTTGGGTCTTACCTCGAGGACAGGAAGTACTTTGTGGAGATTGGAAACTGTGTCTCAGATCATAAGACCCTGACCTGTGGAGTCCCACCGGGGTCGATCCTGGGACCTCTTCTGTTCAATCTCTACATGCTGCCGCTAGGTCAGTTAATACGCAGAAACAAAGTTTCCTATCATAACTATGCAGACGACACTCAGATCTATGTCTCACTGACTGCAGGAGAACATGGACCAGTGGACTCACTCCTTCACTGTATCCAACAGATCAGTGAGTGGATGCAAAACAACTTCCTTCAGCTAAACGCAGACAAAACTGAAATGATTGTCTTTGGTCCCCAGAAACAAAGAGAGAGCGTCATCTGTCACCTACAGTCTCTCTCCCTAAAACCTTCAAACAAGGTCAGAAATCCAGGGGTAATACTGGACTCAGACTTAAATTTTAATAG